TCCCAAGTGGGTTACAACACAGTTTAAAAGTAGGCATACTTCCACTGATTTTGCTCGCAACGTAATCTTCTCGAAATACTTGTCTCGATGTCACCTTGACAAATGTGATCGAAATCTGGAATACACTGTATTTATGCACTTAGTGCTAAGATTGAGGTTTACGTTCATTGGCTAAGCGAATCATAAAATTCGACCATTTACAATGTCCTTGTAATGACCTGATGTCTTCGAGATTGACCTCTGCCCCCCCCCCCCCCCGCGTTGGTGACGTCGCCACCACAGCGGGGGTTTCCAGGTACGCACCCCTTATCACATTCCAAGTATTAATTTAAACCCAAACTATGAATTCCATTCATTGATAGATGAGTAAGAATACCAGGAAGAATACAACGTTGTCTATAACGCCAATTAAATACTGCCTTCATCAGCTCCCCTTTTGTTGTTTTTATTCCTAAGTTATGTGTCATAAAGATTCCCGTACAAATTTCAAAATTATAAAAAGAAAATAATCTCGTAGGGTTTCAGAATACGGCAATTGATTTAATGTCGGGGGATAGCATGCGAAGGAATCAATGAGTATGATTCTCTGACGGCTTACTTGCGGCCTAACTCAGCGGGGTTGTTGAAATTATCTCGACGCAGCCTCACTAAATAATTATTATCTCAGACTCTATATGAGATTACCCCATGAAAATTGGACAGCGGATTTCATGATAAGCATTCTATAGAATATATTTTTTTCGGCATTTTTTCGAGATGAGTTTTTTTTTATAACATTTATTTATTTATTTATCAACAAATTGACAGTAAATTCAATTTTTTTGTAAAATATATTTTTTATATGAATATATCACTCTTTTGCAGTAAAAAAGTACTTTTTCATTTTTCCGATANAGACTCTACTTACTTTTGTTTATTATCTTTAACTTCTTTTAAAGTCTCTACGCTCTGATCGTCACTCTCAATTGGATTTTCCTTGATTGTCTCTTCAGTTAGCCTTGCTGTGACACTTCTCATCATGTGTCTTTTAATTTCTGTATTACCGCCCACCATCTTATAGCTTATTGTTTGTTCCTGAACTTTTATTAGGCTCCTTCTTGCTAACCTTCGATTGAACATTGGGTTTCGAAGATCCATTACTTCCTTTACCCCTCATTCTGTTAAATCTACCCCTTNACTACTGCTGCAGCCCATTCTTGTCTACTCTTTGCATAGCATCCCTGAAATTAGATGGATCTGAATTTATGTCAGCTAAAAGAGCATGACATACGTCGTCGATTGAATTGTCCATTCCTATCTCATCCTCACTCTGTGATAAACAAGCTAAGAATAGTCCAGAGCTCAAATTCTCGTCAATTGGTAACTTTGGGAAATTTGTTTCGCTTGACATTTTATTAATTTCTTTTGTTTCTGACCCTGGGTTTACCCTTTTCGGCCCGCCTCTTTTCCTCCTAGCTACTCCCTCCGATTTGAATTCTTGTTCCAAAACATTCTCACTTTTGTCAAATCCTACAAACCAATCACTTTTATTTATCACTTCTTGAGCTTCAGGGACGTCCTTAATTTCACTTCTACTTTATTTATCACCATAGACCTTTTACTCGTTAAATCTGACATGTCTACTTTCATAAAATTTTCCATCTTCTGGTTTTAGCAAGATATAACCAGTAGGTGTATATCCGACCAAAACACCCCTCATACCTACGGCCCTGAATTTAGGTTCAGTTTTTCTTTGGACTTTCATGTACGCTAAGCTGTCAAACTTGTTAATCTGGTTAATTTCATAGCTATGTTCCGGTGAAAACTCTTCTAATGGAGTTTTCCTTTCATTGGATTTGTGAGGAGTTCGATTATACGCATATACCGCAGCAGACAGAGCCAGATCCCACATACTCTCCGGTAATTTCGCATCAAACATTACGCTCGAATCTTTTTCTGGATTGTCTGATTGAAACGTTCCGCGACCCCATTGTGTTCCGGAGTATTCAACACTTCAACCGCATGACCTCCGGTAAATTCAGTACCTTGATCTGACCTGAGATAGCAAACTCTCGCATCGTAACCCAGCAAGTTTCTACCACTCCTAACAAACATTTCAAGACTCTGACCACTTTGACCTTTAGTTTTCATTGGATACGCCATTGCCAATCTTGACTTGTCATCTATAAATACTGATATAAACCTGTATTGTTTCGGATGTGAGGCTGGGGATATTGGCCCCATCACGTCAGAATGTATCACTTGCAAGGGTTCAGTTGCTCGACTTCTCATTTTGGGGAATGGCAATCTATTAAATTTTGACGCCATACAAACTTCACAATCCAATAACGGCTCGTCAAAAATCAAGTCCTTTAGTTCTTTGTTATCACGAAATTTTAATTGAATGGCTTTGAGATACGCTATGAACGGATGTCCAAATCTGGCGTGGGACAGCAAGGCTTTGTTATTTTTCTGTATTTTATCATTCTCGTCTGCAAAAGTATCAAAATTGTCAGTATTCTTTTCACATCGTATTTCATCAGCATTATTGAATTTTCTATCCCAAATTGAAAAATCAAAATTTGATTGTACGTGCTGATCTAGAGTCGGTTTAGAAAGTTCAATATTTTTCAAATTGTCATTAGACTCTACTTACTTTTGTTTATTATCTTTAACTTCTTTTAAAGTCTCTACGCTCTGATCGTCACTCTCAATTGGATTTTCCTTGATTGTCTCTTCAGTTAGCCTTGCTGTGACACTTCTCATCATGTGTCTTTTAATTTCTGTATTACCGCCCACCATCTTATAGCTTATTGTTTGTTCCTGAACTTTTATTAGGCTCCTTCTTGCTAACCTTCGATTGAACATTGGGTTTCGAAGATCCATTACTTCCTTTACCCCTCATTCTGTTAAATCTACCCCTTTTTGCAATTCCTGAGTCATTCACGTCTGTATTTTCCAATTTTCTCTTTAATAAACCACCTATCCTCCCAGATCCACGAAAGCCTCCTCTTCCCGTGAAGGATTAAACTTAGAGAAAAACTTTGGCTTATTGTTTGTCTCACCTGACTCAGGACATTCGGTCTTTGTGTGGCCATATTTATGGCAGTTGTAACACAACTTTCCTTTTCCCTGTCCTGGACAATTTTTGCCAATGTGACCAAAGGCTCCACACCCATAGCATCTCACGTCACTTAGAGCCAGATTGACTGCCCTAACCTCACCCACACCAGCCTCAGTCTGTTTTCTAGTTGCCTCTTCCTGCATGATTACAAGTTTCAATTGTTCATAAGTTGGAGGTTTCTCCCTTTTTATTTTAGCTGTAGACTGTAAATACTGTACCATTGGTACAGCCTTAATGATAGCATTGTTGAACGCCTCTCTAACCTCGTTTGGGAACAAAGGGTTAGCATCTTCTGAGTTTTCATATTTACGAATGGCCTCTTCAAACATCTTACAAAATTCAGTAGCTGTTGTTTGACCAATCACATACTTCATATTTGAGATTTCTTGTCTTACAGTGTAAGAAGATATATTATTTTCAACCCTTTTAATTTCTTTGAGTTTAGCTACAATTTCTATTGGATCTTGCATTGTAACAACTTTTGAATGATGATTTTTATCAATATGATTTATCAAGATATCTCTGACTTTATATTTTTGTTCTTCTAGAATACTCTTATCTACTTTGATTTCTCTTTTATCATCAAGAACGTGTAGAAGTTTTTGAGATCTCACTTCTGATTTAAAGAAATCATAAAAGTGTTCGAAACGAGTGTTGTATTCTATTTTGTAATCCCTCTTGACCGCTGACCCTTTGTCTACAAGACTTTGCTTTATAGTATCAGCAACCAATTTGACACTCTCGTCTTGGTTGCTTCCACTATTTTGACTCAGAATTTGTGATTTTAATTTATCAATTTGTCTTTTAATCAAATTTTGAGTCTTCACGTCCAACTCGTCAGTTTCAACAATATTATTTTCAGAAGAATCATTATCCCCGTCCCTCACCTCTTCTGAAGTTTCTCTATACTCAGCCCACACCCTCAGATTCTCCAGATTCTCTTCAATTTTGGACAGTTTCTCATCCCTTTCATTTTTCATTTCTTTCAAGTCTTTTGATACTTCTTTGAGACTGTCCGAAATGAATCGAGATGTATTTGTTTGGATTTTTGCCATTTCTAAAAGATAGTTTAGAAATAGCAAAAAAAATTAGTTTAGTACACATCAGATTCAACTCATTCTCCACTGGAATTTCAGATTTTATTTTGTTATTGATAATTTTCGTAGGATCTTTTGGAAGATTTGGTATTGGGTGTTTTATTACAATTTTTGGTTCCAAATGTTGAACCTTTACAACCTGGGGTTTAGATTTACCTGTTTTAAGAGTATTTACTTCTGCTGGGTCTTTACCCTCAGTTCTATTTGCCTCATCTGAACTGATTAACTTCTCGTCCACACCAGTTTTCTCATCACCACTTTCCACTTTGCCTTTCTCGTGCACATCTGTACTCTCCACATCCTTTGGCTCATCCCTGACCTCAGCAGTAGTAGTTAGATGTTCCTCATAGACCTTTGGTATGATGGTAGGTGTGCCTGACAAGATGATATATTCATGCCAGGCCACCAAGGATCTCCACTAATCCTCTGACATCATCTGTTTACCTGTTAGGTTTTTAAAATAAGTTTATGATTAGTTATTTGAATTGCTCCGCTACTGACAAGTTGAACACAAACTTAATCAGCATTAGAGTCTCGAACAAAATAGGAACAGTACACATGGACCAATTTATTTTTGAAAGACAATCAGTTTCAAACGCCGTATGGTCAAACGTGCTACTGCTGATCATCCTTATAGAACATCCACATTTCGAAATTTCAAAGTTTCAGAATTTCAAAATGTTAAAATCTCAGAATTTAATTCTGATAAACATATATATATATATATATATATATATATATATATATATATATATATTTTTATTTTGTAACTAGTATTTATTTTTATTTTTAATTCGAATTTTTCGGGCCAATTAAATTGTGACAATATTTGCTAGCCAATATTTCACAAGCACTCCATCTCAAGCGTCTTTTCTCGTCCTGACCTTCTTTATCATTTCAAGTCAACTCACCCAAATAATAACTCAATTTGTCTGTTTTCATTTGTAGAGTTTCCTCTACCACGTCCAGGGCCACGTCCTCTCCCCTATGGTTATCATCAAATCCGAAGATTTCTGTGAGAGTCTTCCATAACTCTCATAACACCTTACCTGTGTTAATTTAAAATTATTGTTGTGATGATCAGATTTTTCTATTTTTAAAATCTTTTCCAAGAAATTTCAATTATAAATGTTGTTCATTTCTCTTTAGCTTAACTAATTTAGTTACGGCATTGCATTAATATATCTGTATTACTCCGCGCCACCATCCCGCTGGCCTGTTGCATGGGGACTACTTCCGGCGCCAACGTCCCCGTGCCTTCTTACTACGCCCAACGAACGCGTCCCTCGCCAATAATTAATCTTTTCTTAATCTGTTTTTCCCATTGCCGTCATTTGAATTCCCCCGTTAATAAATAATTAACCACAATTATATCCGCTCATCAATAATTATGCAACCAATTATTTAAATTTCTGACTAAATATTACTCCACTCTACGGGATTGCATCAGCCGCGTTGACTAATGCCGTCCGCCATATTTGAGACTAGCGCACTGTTCCACACTTCCACACTGTTCCCGCCGAATTTTCTATGACGACGCTATTTTTTCCAATTTCTCAAATTCGTGAATTTCTCAATTCGTTAATTTCCCGATCACTTGTTTTTCACTGCACTGTACTTACTCATAGTGAATTTCTGGCAGTGTACTTATTTCATCTCCCACCAAACTCGTCGCAGAGTCCACGTGTGGATTTTTTTTTTTATTAATGTTCGTTTCAATTTTAGTCTTTATCACTTATCACTGATATCCCACTTTTTCAGAGCACAGTTGAAGCGTGCTGGGCCCATAACCTATTGGAATAGGTGTTTGTAGACGCAATGAAACATAGTTGAACGTATCGAAAGTATTTTATTAATTGGGCACGTCTCGTCTGAGCGTCCTCCTCCTAGCGTGTGTTATACACAAGTGGCGATTGCCATGGCAACCAGTCAGTGACGAGATCTGCGCATGCGCACGATCCCGTTCCTCTACATTAACGTACATATAATATATGAAGCATGAATAGCGTGAACACAAGATAAGGCAACTCTATATGAGGACCAGAGCTGGAACCAGTTTCCAATAGTTAAACAATTCATTCACCGAGACGCATTATTACCATTAATCTTCACATATGAAAGAAAATCAGCAAAACTCCTAGCGGTGTAAAACTCCTTCGCTAGACAATTCTATTGGATTTCTATTGAACTTTCTATTAGCTTCTGATCATCTCTATTGAAATGTTCAATAGAGAATATTCTGTAGAAAAACTCAATAGAAATATATTTTTCTATACAACTTATTTTATTGAGATTTTTTCTATGAAATTTCCTCGGCTCAAATTTTCCAAGTTTTTTTTCACTTTATTCTTTCTTTTCTTTTCATCAAGAAAATTAAACAAAAAAAACTTAGAGAATGTGAGCCAAGGAAATTCCACAGAAAATATCTCTATAGAATAAGTTGTATAGAAAAATAGAATTCTATTGATTTTTTCTATAGAATATGTTCTATTGAACATTTCGATGGAAACGGCCCAAAACTAATAGAAATTTCAGTAGAAATACAATAGAATTATCTAGCGAATTCGTTACGAATTTCATATAAACAACTCGACACTAACACGGCCTCTGCCGGGGCGCCTTTAAATTTTAATATTGCATCAGCCTCATTCTAGTATTGGATATTTCTAAATTTTCAATTAATCCTTAATATTTCTTTATTATTTTTACATACAAGTAAATAAAAAATTTCTGAATACAAAATACAAAATTTTATTGAAGTTGAAAGAACTTTCAGTATTTTGACAATGGAAAAAGGCAACAATTTTCAATTTTAATAATTCATAATCTATGATTTTTTATGAATTGTTTATTAACATAGAAATTAAATGTCCACACGGAGAAAATTGAATAGTAAACAATACCATGGTCATAGGAGAGAATGCTATGGCAACATAGTAAATGGGTTTTCAACTGGCCCTGCATACTAAGTCTTACTATGTCCTACAGTAATGCTTACCGGTTTCCATGGTAATGCTCACAATCTTCTATAGGAATATTTACTATGGTACATAGGAATGCTTATCATATCCATGTAAATGATTACAATGTGAATGGAAAATGGTCCTATGAACGTAGAAAGTATTTATAAAATAAGCTGTTGAAATTCGCGATTGTCTCTTGATATGTTCATAAACTCAAGACGCTCAAGGCGTAAACCCTTAGTTTGAAATTTTCCTATTAAATTCTACAATATGTTTGTTTCAAATTCATATATTTCTTTAAATAACAAAGCTTCAATTATATGGAATAAATAGTGAATTCACTAGAAGTAGATAAGCAATTAGAAATAAATAGACAATTTATTTGTTCCGACAGGGAATTATTACATGTTAAAAAATTATCTCCCTTCGCCATCCAAACAATGATTCCATTTTTAACTAATAAAGTGTATACTTGTATGGAGAAAGCAATTGTTTAGATTTATAAAACTATTTATTTGATATGAATAAAAATGTAATTGGAAATGTAATTTAGGTTTTAATGGACGGTTTATTAGGAGCTCTCTGAATAAATCTATTATTTCATTCAAAAATATAATTTCTATTTTTGTTGATTCTTACAAAAAAATTCTTGTTCTTGAATTAATGATGTTTCTGTGTTTGACATTAATCTACTTGTGTGTCATTCCTTGATGGTATTCAATTATTTTGAATAATTCATTATTATATTTCATTGAATAATTTCATTACGTGTGATAGGACATTTTACGTAGCATAGGGAGCTCTACTATGTAACATACTAAGCTGTACTACGTATCATGGTAATTATTGCTATGTCCATACGATGTATGACCTTTGAGAAGCTTACTAGACGCCATAGTAAGCATCACGATATTCCATGGTAGCCATTACCATGTCCATAGTAATACTTATAAAACTTTGGTAACGTTTACTATGTGCCGATCCCGACATAGCAGTCTTTACTATTTTATTTTCTCCGTGCAGAAAATCATTCAGATATAAGCAGAAATTTCAATTTCAACCTGCATTCATATCCGGAAATAAGTTCATGGTTAGATCTGATGTTTCATAAGACCCAAATGTTTTTCTTCCATCCTGCCGATGGCCTTTGTGACTGCCAGGAAAAGGGAGACGTAAACCCTCTATATCCCAATTTAAAAAAAAACGAAAAAGATTATATTCCCGTAATTCCCCATATCGCTGTCGAGAAAATGAAAAGAATAAATAAGTAAATGAAATTTTCGTCGTCTCAACTATTTTGAACCTCTTTCCATCTTAAAAAAAAACACTTTTAAGAATCTTGTCAGCAATTTTTACTCAAAGAATTTTTCATCATTCAGCCTTCCGGTACCATTATTACGCAATAGCCGAATGGAGAACGAATAAAAATAGTAGGATGCAAAAAATCTTCATCCAATTATTTAACCCTCCTGAACGGGCTCAGTCAACACAATGCCGCTCGATTTCCAATTTTTCTTTTGTTAATTAAATGAGAGCCAACAAAAATCTGAAAAATTACATTGCCCACGTTCATCCATCTTGAATGCATTGGCAATTCTTATTGTTCATACTCACACTGATCGATCACCAAAAAATTTAAGGTGCTTAGAGTCCCTCTGTTTAATCTCTGAAAATCTCATTTCCGGACAACGTCAAATAAATTTTTGCATTAAAGCGACACGTTTTTCTTCGTTCTATCACCATCTCCGATTGATTCAAAATTGAAACCTTCCTCTAAACCCAAAATTCATCTTATTTTCAACTTTTTTTTCAGAAGCAGTAAAATATTACTCTTTCTTACTAAGCATGAACATGAAATACAGAAAATAATTTGCTTTGCATTTTTCTCCGGGAATGAAATCATCCTTCTCCGCTCAGCCGTAAAAAAATGGAAATGAAACAAGCAGGGGTTCGAGCCTATGCCACAGAAGGCCTGTAACGGTTACTTTTTGTGTCATTACACTGCAAAAACTCCGATCTTATTCTAAGACCGATACGTCCGAATGCTAAGACCGGAGTGTCCGGATGGTTAAGTACTTAACTTGATCTTAAAATCTAAAACCGTTCATCGATCTGATTGCTATTATTTTCAATTATTCAATGCTGATTGTCACAGTGGCAGGGGAGGGTTCAATCCTAACTCCTGACCTTCATTTTCCAATCCTTGGACTTTGACTCTTATAATCTGATACTGTGATTTTGACCCTTGTGACCCTTAAATTCTGATCCTTAGATTTAGATCTCAGAAGTTGGATCCTTATATATGCACCCTTACATTTTGGCCCTTGTGATCCTTTAAATTATGACATATTTATTTTGACTTGTAGATTTTGACCCTTAGATTTTGACCTTTATATTCAGACCCTCATATTTTGACCTTTAGATTTGGACCATTATATTCAGACTCTTATATTTTGACTCTTATGGACCTTAAATTCTGAACCTTAGATTTTGACCCTTGTATTCAAACACTAGCGTTTGGACCCTTATGAGCCTTAGATTTTGACCCTTCTGACCCTTACAATCGAAACCATGGATTTTGACTCTTATATGCAGACCCTTGTATTTTGATCTTCATGACTCTGAGAATTTAACCCCTGTGACCCTGAAATTTGACCACTGTGACCCTTAAATTTGAAACCTAAAATTTGACCCTTATATTCAGACGATTGTCATTTGACTCTTATGACCCATAAATATTAACCCTTGCGACAGTAAAATGTTGAAACTCGAATTTTGACTTTGATACTCAGATCGCGGAATTTTGACTCTTATCAATCTTAGACTTTGACTATTGTGACCCTCAAATTCGAAGCCTTGGATTTTGACCCTTATATTCAGGCCCTTGTACTTTGACCTCCATGACCCTTACAATTTGACCTTTGTGAGCTTCAAATTTGGAGCCTTAAAATTGGGAGTGTATATTGGCACCCCTTGGTGCCTGATTTCTGGTGTCTGGTGTCTAAAAGCTCTGTCTTCGTGTCTGGTGTCTGGTGCCTGGTATCTTGTGTCTGGTGTCTGAAAGCTCCTTTTTCGCATATGGTGTCTGGTGTCTGTGTATTTTCTCGCCGATAGGAAAATACATCGTATATGGGTACTTGTGTCTGGTGTCTGGTGTCTGGTGTCTGGTGTTTGAAAGCTCTGTTCAATAGAAAGACATGATGTGTCTAGTGCCTAACGTTTGTGGTGTCTGGTTCTGGTGTTTGGTGTTTGGTGTCTGGTGACTGGTGTCTGGTGTCTCATGTGTAATGTCTNTTAAAATCTAAAACCGTTCATCGATCTGATTGCTATTATTTTCAATTATTCAATGCTGATTGTCACAGTGGCAGGGGAGGGTTCAATCCTAACTCCTGACCTTCATTTTCCAATCCTTGGACTTTGACTCTTATAATCTGATACTGTGATTTTGACCCTTGTGACCCTTAAATTCTGATCCTTAGATTTAGATCTCAGAAGTTGGATCCTTATATATGCACCCTTACATTTTGGCCCTTGTGATCCTTTAAATTATGACATATTTATTTTGACTTGTAGATTTTGACCCTTAGATTTTGACCTTTATATTCAGACCCTCATATTTTGACCTTTAGATTTGGACCATTATATTCAGACTCTTATATTTTG